TCTTACATTACGTATAAAACATAGGATTACATAGAAACATTATGCATGACCGTAACTAATAAATACATTAATATAAAGATTTTTTTGTATTACAACAATATCAAAATTATCGGCGAACCTTGTTATGTTATGTAATTACTATTAATACACAATCATAGTTATGTACTGATTGTAGATATAGTAGTTATGTAGTAAAAGTAAATACATAACATAAGAGTGTTATGTATTTACTAGTTACGTTAGGTATTTAATATTAAGTGTAACGTATTTACTATTGTTATGTATTTAATATTAAGTGTTATTTATTTACTATTGTTATGTATTTATTAGTTAAGAACATGTATAATATTTCTATGTAATCCTATGTTTATTCTTATACTCCCTAAATGACCGGCGAACAATGAGAGAGAAAGAGAGAGAGAGAGAGAGAGAGAGAGAGAGAGAGAAAAAAGAGGGAGAAAGAGAGAAAAAGAGAGAGAGAGAGAGAGAGAGAGAAAGAGGGAGAGAGAGAGAGGGATAGAGAGAGAAAAGAGAGAGAGAGAGAGAGAGAGAGAAGCCTTCTACAGTAAAACGTAACATTCGATAAAATGTCATTTATTCATTTATATTATTTATATTTATATTATTAATATATATTATTATATATTATTATCTGTTATATATAATAAAAATATTGTAATATTATATTATCATCTATATCATTTATATATATATATATATATATATTCATATATATATATCATTCAGATTTATATTGTTATATTATTTATACTCATTTATAAATAGCGTCTCATGTCCGCGTCTCATCTACTTTATGATATTACTTTACATATTTCTATTTTTTTGCTATCGTTAATTCAACTATTATCTTCCGTATCATCATATAGTCCTTACCACAGTTATCTTGATCATTAATGATATGATCGTAGTTATTATTATTATTATTATAATTACAATTATCATCGTCATCACCTCATTATCATCATTATCATTATCGTTTTCGATGATTATCGTTGTCATCACAACTATCACTATTTACTTAATAACAATAAAGATTATAATAACAACAACTATGATAATGTTGATAATCATAATTATAATAATAATGATAATAGCAATATAATTAATGAGAATAATAATGATAATAGCAATATAATTAATAAGAATAATAATGATAATAGGTAATGAAACAAATAATATATTAATAGAATAATAATAATCTAATAATGATAAGAAATAGAATAACAATATCAATGAAAATATTAATAGCAATAATAACATTAATAGTACAAAAAGTGACCTTTCATAACAATATCATTAACTTTATTATTACTAAGGATAGAAATAATTTCTGTAATAATAACATCCATATAAAAACAAAATCAAATATGATGATGTTGATACCGATAATGAAAAAAAATATATGAATAATAATAATAATGATAATAATGAAGATAATAATTGGAAATAATTGGAACATGATAATGATAATGAAAAGAATATATCAATAACAATAATAATGATAATAATGAAAATAAACATAAACATACATACTTATGAATATATATACATATATATGTGTGTGTTTGTGTGTGTATGTGTTCGTGCGTGTGTGTGTGTGAATTATATATATATATATATATATGTGTGTGTGTATGTATATATATATATATATATATATATATGCATATATGAATATGTTTTCATATATATACATGTATACAAATATATAACTAGATAGATAGAAATTGTGTCGGCCTTTAAAATCAAAATGAAATATCCATTTATTATTTTCAAATAGTATCCATGAATTTCCTTCTTTTCATTAAAATAGGGGAATCATAATTGAAGCTAAATCCCTCTTTTCAAATAGCCAAACGACTTCCAAATCAGGTGTCATACAGAGTAGGTGCAATAGATTTCTCGAATGCCATGACCAGTAGTAGCAGTCTTTTGACCACCCCTGTTCACTACCAGCAGACATGTGCTTACCTGAACAAAAATCCCATGCGGATTTAAATACAGGTCATAAAAGGTTATTATTCTCTAAAGAACTACACATTAAACATGTCAAGTACAGCATAAATCCGTAGAGGAGATTTTATTTTATTTCATGGCATTTACGGAATTATAATTGGCTAAAGAATTCCCAAACTTCTGTGTGTACACATATATGCACACACAGACATATATATATGCAAATATATATTAAGGATACTTAAGTAAATGTGCAGTTTTCTTATACATTTGTGCTTCCCACATACATCAGTAAGGGAAACTAAGCCTTGCAAAACTCTTGTACCGTAAACCAGGAAATAAAGAATGGTCTCAATACTTTCTTGTATTTTATTTCATAAAAAGGCGTTTAACAATCCTTTTAAAACCCCAAGGCTTATATCCGTCCCCTACTTCGCCTAAGCAACCCACTTTAACTACTCTGGAAACCCCTGGGGTAACTCTTCCCAATCCCCAAGACTCAGGGAAGGAGTGTCAGTTTCATTTCTTTACTTTCGCCTCACGTTCAGTCGAGCGTCCCATGAAGCGAAGACTCGTAGCTGCCGCTCAGCTTCGGGGAGCTTACCTGTCAGGAGAGTGTGTGAAGACATAAGGTGAGATCATAGGAGACTTTGGCAGTTTGTAGTTGTATAAATATACAGCAATACATATGTTTATTTGTGTGTCTTTATACATATGTATATATATATGTGTGTGTATAAATATTTACATATATATGTGGGTATGTAAATATTTATATTTATATATTTCTGTTTATATGTATACACTATGTATATATTTGTATATAAACGCAAATATATACAAATGTACATATGTATACATCTGTATATATTTGCGCATATACGTATGTATATGTATGCATATATATGTATATGTGAATATATATACATATATATGTGTGTGTATCAATATATGAATATATATGTATATATATGTATATATGAATATATGAATAAATTATCTCTATATATATAATAACATATAGATGTATATTTATATTTATATACGTATATATATAAATATATATTTGTATTTATACAAGTATATATTTGTATAAATGTATATTTTTATCTATATATGTACAGCTATCCATATTTATGTATGTATATATACTTATATATATATTTTTTTTTTTGTATATATATATTTGTATATATATACACATATATTTGTGTATATATATTTACTAATGTTTATATATATATATATATATATATATATATATATATATATATACACACATGTATATATACACACACAATTGTATATGTCAATATATATATATATATATATATATATATATATATATATATATATATATACATATATATGTGTTCCGTATGTGTGTATGAATACATGTATAAATAATATATATATATATATATATATATATATATATATATATGTACGTGTCTGAGTCTGTTTCTTTGTGTGTCTACATATATATGAATAAATGGATAAGTTATATGCATACACACACACATATATATATATGTATATTTAAAACACTCATATATATACTAAGTAACAGAAATAAAATTCCGAAAAGAGCCTAAAGTGCGATATTGACCAGTTAACCTTGGTTAGTAATATATGTATGAGTACATATCCGTAAATATAGAACTGAATTTGCATATATATAATTATTTATGTGTGTGTGTTTGTGCAAAAGACTGTGGAATTTAACGGCCTTTTTTTAAACCCTAATGCATGCATCTACCTCTTCGATAGTCCCATCGAACCTTAAGGAACAACAATGACCACCTGGGCTAGCCTTCCCTCATCTCCAAGACCGGGGAGAGGAGCAGGAGTCCCCTCACTCTGCCTTCGCTTCCCTTGAGCGGAGTCTCTCTGGTTGACGCCCGAGGAAAGGCACGCGCGGTCACTCAGCTGAGACGAATTTACCGGGAGAGAGTGTGTGAAGAAATAAGGTAAGGTTATGGGATAATCATTTTAGTTATTTCGTATTGATTGATATATTCAGGCATGCAAATATGTAGGTTATAATTAAGTGTATACATATATATATTATGTATATATATATATATATATATATATATATATATATATATATATATATATATATATTATACATATATATCATATATATACAGTGCATACTATATCTATCTTGCTAGCAATATATATAGATAGTTATGTGTGTATGTATACATTTATTTACACATACACATGCACGCATATATATAGTATATATACATATATTTAGAATATATATATTTAATATATATACATATATGTATACTTACATAGTATATATGTATATATATATATATATATGTGTGTGTGTGTGTGTGTGTGTGTGTGTGCGTGCGTATATGTATATAAACTACACATACTATATTTATCCTTCTATCAATATATATATATATACACATAAATACACTATATATATTTTTTCTCTCTCTCACACACACACATATATATATATTCATAGACGGACAAAGACGCAGAAATGTGTATATATATGTATATATATGTGTGTGTACCTATTCATACAAAGACACACACGCACGTGTATGGGTATATATGTATACATATATACTCACATATATATGTATATGTATATAAATCATATACACTCTTACATATAACTGTATGCATACATATAACTGTATATACACAAACATAACCATGCACATGTACACACACACATATCTACATACACACACGTGGACACGTACACACATACATAGTATATATATACATACACGTACACTTTCATAGACATGCGCACGTCATATGTATCTCCACGTGCATACATATGTGTATACACACCTACCTAGATGCGAACCCACATTTATACACGCCTTGTACACGTATGTATTACTATGCACAAATATACAACCATACATATGAACACGCACACTTATGTTTTTATGTACACCCGCGTATAATTATATACCTGTACATATATTTCATATAGATGCACTTATGCACATACATATGTATATATATATACACATGCATAGACATATACATATCTATATACTTAGACACATATATACCATGAAGTACAAACAAGGGAACACATGCATGGTGTACTCACACATAACTATATGCATACATATAACTGCATATACACTAACAAAACCATATACATGTAAACAGACACAGACACACATACCTCCATACGCATGCTCGCATACGTGCCCCACACATTAATTTAAACGCGCATGTGTATTGCTTCTCTTGCACACACACATGGGCACGTACACACATACACATATGTACGTGCGCACTTCCTAGCATACACGCTCATACTCATGCACAAATGTTTGAACTGTATCTGCATTACCAAATTACACAGTCCACTATAGTGAGCCCTGCATTATAATGTGCTTAAATTGTAGGGTTCCAGCAGAGGGGTTGAGGGAAGGAGGCGGGTGCTGTAGAAGGGGAGGAACTAGGATGGTACTGGAATGGGTAAGGACGAGGTTTAGGGTTAGAGGAAGTTAGAAAGGGGATTTTGTATCTGACAATTTTTCGGATTTTTCTGTCGCATTCCTTAGCGGTTGCTAAGCCGGCGTGCGGCCTCGTCCGACCGCGGCCATGGGTCGCGGGGTCAGCGGCTGGCGTTCGTTTCAGGTGCCATCGCTTGACTTCGTTAATACATAGTTTATCTGTCGATTGTCGATTGGTTAAATATACTTATCGCTTTATGGTATAGGTTTAAACCTACCTGATTTTGATATGTGGTTTGGCGGTTCCTTAGTGAACCTCCTTGAAGAAAACAGTCTTACCCATGTGACTAAGCACTGTTTCTCGGCTTCCTGTGTGTATGGGGACAGTGATGCCAGCCATTTTCTAATGGTCATTTTCTAATGTCTTTTTCAGGGGGAGGGGGGATTATTATTTTTCTAGACGCCATTTCCATATATTGTGGCACTCGCAACATCCAATGGGAACTTATGAGCTCATTTGACACAGTAATGGAACCTAGTATTCCTAGTTGGCACTTAGTTTGAAACCTCCATGTATGCATGGTCCAATGTTGAAGTTCATATACTTGTGAGACATTTTGATAAATTATGATTTTCTTTGTAATATATGATCTCTACATTCGTGAATCTTTCTTATGTAGCAATATTATCACTTCTATCTCGAAATATTGAACAATTATTATCATTGACCTAACCACAAAACCTCTTTTCGGCATTCATAAATATATGTGTCAGTGTATACATGTATATATCTACAAATTATATATGTTATATTTATCAACTTACTTATCTACCTTTCTCTCTCTATATATATTATATATATATATATACATATTAACTATATATATATACATATTATATATATATATATATATATATATAATATATATA